GTGCGTGTGGGCTACCTACAACCTCTCTACTACGGAGAGGACAGTCGAGGTCTGGTGCGTGCGGGCTACCTACATCCTCTCTATTACGGAGAGGACGGTCGAGGTCCAGTGCGTGCGGGCTACCTACATCCTCTCTACTACGGAGAGGACAGTCGAGGTCTAGTGCTGTCTCTTATACACATCTAGATGTGTATAAGAGACAGCGTCTGTACCGCACGTCTGGTACGTTTGTACCGTACGTCTGGTACGTTTGATAACATCACAATTATCATGAGACAATATCAACCATAAATATCATCACATCTGTTGTGGGTCTCTAAATCATATTTTGATGGTGGTAAGTTTATCGTGAAAGATCGTATGTATTTTTTCAATTTTAAACGTCGCCTTCAATTATTCGTGCCATGCCACAAACCAGCCTTCGACCAACAAGCCCTGCGTGAAAGTTCCTGTACTGTACAGATGTGGCATCCTGGAAATTAGCTTCGGTTATTGGTTGTCTCAAGTTTAAATTATATGAAAAAGTTACTTGTATATTTTTTCTTAAGTTAGACTTAGGCTTAAAATAAAATAGGCTTAAAGAAAAAATGTTAGGCTTTTTTTGCAGGGCACATTTGTGGATAATTTCAACGGCCTATAAATAACAATGAACATGAACTCTTCTAGAAACTCATGTTCGTTGCATGTTCATAAAGAATATAAAGATTCGGTCAATCATTTGTCGGTTAAGTTGCTTTGTTGCGCTCCATATGTAAATAAATATGATGCGATTAATTGCAATGTTATTATTCAACATTCATTCAATTATCATTTATCGTTTAACGTATTATCACTACCATTCAATCAATTATCATTTATCGTTTAACATATTATCATTACCATTCATTCAATTATCATTTATCATTTAAAATATCATCATTTACCATTTAACCAATTATCATTTACCATGTAATCTATTATCATTTTACCAATTATCATATATCATTCAACCTCCTATCATTCACCTTTCAACTTATTATCATTTAACCAATTATCATTTATTATTCAACATATTATCATTTTCCAATCAACTTCTTATCATTTACCATTTTACCGATAATAATTTATAATTTTAACAATTATCCTTGAACATTTATACACGGATCACCCTTTACGGCACGTTAACAGACACAGCAGTTCTGTTACCTAGTGGAGGCATCTTGCACAGTCTCCCCCTTCTCTCGTTATGACATGTCTCTTATTGTCTCAATCCTAAAGGTCTCGCTCTCGAAGTTTGGCACCATTCCGGTTATCATTTTCCATGTGTACCGAATGACATACCTCTCCCGTCTCCTCTGCAGTGAGTACAGACCCAGGTGCTTAAATCTCCCCCAGTAGTTCAACTCTTCCATCCCTCTGATCCTGGTAGTGAAGGTTCGCTGGACACCTTCCAGTTGCCGCACTGCGCCGAGTTTGAACGGGGTCCAGATACGGTAAAGTTTTTGATTGAAATAAGCGGTGATCCACGTGTTTGCCATGATACAATATTGATAAAATAGCTATAGGATACAATATCCTGACTATTGTCGAGTAAGAATACATTATCCTTTCTCGACTGCCTGTCCTTCGAAATGCCAGGTTTATATAATCATTCTCAGGAAGAGCGAGACTCGTAGCTTTCACAAGAGATTATTTCGTTAATTGAATCATCGATATAGTTTCTCTAATGTTATAATGTAAATATTATGAGTCGTGTGACACCGTTACTGGGGTAACTAGGGGGCGTTACTCTTAGGGTCAGGTTTGCATTTAATGGGTTCGGGGAGGGTTACCGTTAATTTCCTAACATGAGATCGTAACACTATGTGTCACGGTTGACTGGAAGTCAGAACCAGGAGGTTTCAACAAGATAAATAAGCTGCATTACAATTTATCCTTAAGCTTTTGCAAGCGGGCCTTACCATACGAAGATTACAATAAAACAATAATTGATAAAGTGTATGGTGACAAAGTATATATATTGCCCATAAATATAACGGTAATAGTTTATAATGCTAGAAATAAATTCGTAACATGAACACATATCATACGACCGTCAAGCATGAATGAAGTCCAAGTTGCTGAAAATCACAAGTGCTTAGCATTACAACGGTTTGCCTAATAGAACTGGCGCTAAGAACGCTCTTAACAGCCAGCCAAAGACCACCATCGCAGTTGGAGCCCCGACATCTGCTAAGTTTCTGCCCAAAGAATATTTCTACAGTTTTTGTCCATAGTCATGTTCGCAGAAGTGCGGCGGCTTACAACCAAACGCAGAGCCTTTCAAGCCCGCTACAACGGTTGACTATATCCTGTTACGTGGGCCGGGGATGGAAGAATTAAAGAACAATAATCTTTAGATGATTGTCAATATTAACCAAAATAATGGTGAATACAGTCCGTAGTTACCCAGGTGATGGTCACTGCAGGTCTTAGTTAACCCTAATGATGAGTAACACTTGCCGTTGTTACTAAGACGATGGTTAATATAGGCCTTAGTTGAGTTTGATGATAGTTAATGTACTCTGTTGTCAACCCTGATGACGTTAATGCAGTTTATAAATAACCCTGATTATGTATAACGATATCTGTAGTTAGCACTGAAATTGGTTAATGCAGCCAGTAGCTAAATCAGATGATTATTATTGCTGCATGTAGTTAACATTGATGGTGGTTAATGCAGCTCATAATTAACGAAGCTTAGGCAAAAGCTTTGGCTAAATCAAAAAAGTTCACGACAGCTACGTTGCCCATATCAATTTGCGCATTCTCCCACGCGGTCCAGTTTGTACGTACTGGTTAAGTTACCGCTGACGAAACTACCCATAGTTTTCTTCAAATGATATATGGGGCAACTCGCTTAAAATGGAATATACTGCTGGCTCATCACAAATTGATTAAAATTAATTCTGCGATTACATTTTCTAGAAATAAGTTAATTGAATTCCCATTAAATTCATATTCACTCGCTTTGTTTTCTCAATTATTTCTGTTTATTTCATAGTACTGTATACCGGTGCCACGTTTGCAGGTCGAAATGAAACGGGTTGCGTCAATGGTTGTCCCGTGCACAGATAATTACTTTAGTTATCTGTTGTATAGTCATTAAGATTTTTATTCTATTGTACAAATTTTTGTCTAGTAATTCTCGTTTATACTAAATTTTATGTATCAAAAAATTTGTTCCGTAGTATATTCTGCATTTTTATTCTTATTGTTTCGAAAAAAAGTTTCAATCTCGTAACTTATAGTGTTTAATAACTTATATCAGTTATTTTAAATCGCATCCGAATCGAATTGACACGCCTATATCTATCAATGTATATTTTTGTAGTAAAGTTTTGGATCTCATTTGAGGTTAAAAGAATCGGGAAAAAAATAGTGTAAAATTTATAAAAGATAATATCTTTATTAGTTTAGATGCTGAGGTCATCCAACTGATGTCAATCTCAGACGAGTCAACACTTAATAGGGGTAATGTTGGTGTGAGTTTTAATATGGCAATATACTTTATTAGTGATAACATGCAAATTGCTCGAATTTAAGGTGCTAATAGGATTAAATTTAATTAGTTTTCAACTTATTGGTTAGGTTTTATGGCTTACATTTCAGTCGGAGTTTACGTCCATTAAAAAGTTAAACACATAAGATAACTGTGAATGAAACGTATTTGGACCGCAACACGAGTTTTTTATTGTTTCAATTCAAAAGTGAACTTGGCTTTCCTGAGACAAAAATTTTCTCTAAAAAAGTATTCAACATCCTATTTTCAGGCCTTGTGCTATTCTTACCTACGTTCTCAGTGCTATTCCTACCTACATTCCTGATAATATTTCTACCAGCAATCCCAGTGCTATTCCTACCTTCATTCCTGATAATATTACTACCAGCAATCCCAGTGCTATTCCTACCTACATTCCTGATAATATTACTACCAGCAATTACAGTGTTATTCCTACCTACATTCCTGATAATATTACTACCAGCAATTACAGTGTTATTCCTACCTACATTCCTGATAATATTACTACCAGCAATTACAGTGTTATTCCTACCTACATTCCTGATAATATTACTACCAGCAATTACAGTGTTATTCCTACCTACATTCCTGATAATATTACTACCAGCAATTACAGTGTTATTCCTATCAAAGCAAAAATTGCTTTTATTTTTCAATTAATCTCTATTACTCGCTGTAGCCGCAGTTTGACGCATCTCTTATAGCATTTGTTTACCATGAGTAGTTTTCAGCATCACTCTTTCTCCACGTGTCACTTTGCTCCCGACGCCGACCAGTACGGTATGGTGCGGAGATGCTGAACATTTGTCATATTGCTATTTATCAGATTTGAACGGTTGTAGTATTTATTACTGTATGTAATTGCCCTTAATCCCTTTGCAGATGAAAATGCAAATAATTTCAACCTGCGGCATTAGGCCTGTGACATTAACTTGAAGCCCGTTTGGCCAATCTTTGCTGAATTTTGCTGTAATTAAAATTGTTCTGTGTTAAATGTCCGGAGTTTCATGCCCTTGTGTGAATTACAAAGTCAGTGAACGTGAAGACCATTACTAGAATGGTACGTAACCATAGACTGCAAGACAGCGGTTACACTCGCTAAAGATATTTTGATTGCTCTTGATTACTGAAATATGACAATGTATGAGAGATTAATTAATATTTATGAAAATAAATAATTTATAGATAAAAATAAGTTTTCAGAAAATATCTTTACATCTAAGAATAGGACTTAAGGGCTGCGGGATGCAAACCTCCCCTGCTGGACTCGTACGGCGGGCTAAACCATGCACGGGTTCCCCGTGAGCCCCACCAGCACTGCGGGCTAAACCACGGGTTCCTACAATATACTATAATATAATATAATATGAAACGATATAATATATTATGCATTAAATGTATGGGAATATCATACAGCGATAGAGGAATATTGCCCCACACTTCAGTGTTCGCCGTTCACTCACCCGCCAGCACCAGCGCGCGTGTCGACCTCGTCGGCCGTTCTCACGCCTTCATCTCTTAGCTTCTGCTGCAGCCGCGACAGCTCCTCTTCACGCAGCCTGCAGTCGCGCAGCCACAGCTCCCTGAACCTGGGCACACAAACTGCAGTGTTATTCCCTCAGAGGCACAATACGATGTATAAACTAAACGATGTTTGTACAACATACATACGTCCATTTGTTATGTATAACACATGGAAGTCTATTTCCCCCCTCGGGTGTCGGGGGGCTACGCACCTCTTGCGAGGGGGGGCGAGGGAGATTGCGGTGTGGGCCACGGCCCCCCAGGACCCTTCGTCCGCTCCATCCACAACCAGCACTGGTGGGGGGGAGGGGGGCAGCGGCCACGTGGGGTTCATATCTGTGCAGCTCAATGAGGATAACAATGATGCAAGATAACAGTGATGCATGATAACAGTGATGCATGATAACAGTGATGCATGATAACAGTGATGCAAGATAAAGTGATACAGGACAACATATATTCACCAAACATTGCTATAAATAAAGACTATACACTATATAATTGTACGGCGCTCACGTGCCCAGGGGGCGCTGCCCCAGTGCTGGGCATGACTCACAGTGCTGCATGAATTTCCGCATAAAGACGCCGAGCTCCTGGGGCTTCGCCCAGATGTCGAGGCCAGCTCTGTGGGCCGATGAGGCGAGGGCGGCCGCCATACCGTCCTGGCTCAATCTGTCCCCCAGTAGGGAAATTTTGATGCATGAACACCGTGATAACAGAGATAACAGATCACCATGATAACAGACGCACGAACTGCTGTGCCATCCCCCAAACGCACAGCCCCCCATCTTGATCGTTCCCCAGACGCACTAACACACTGAATGCAAACAAATAATTAAGTTTTATTAACGATTAATAATCGTTTGAATTAATGATTCAAACAATTTACATGTTTAACTATACGATACATAATTATGAGATGTATGACTATTCAATGGATAACTATACGATGTATAACTATACTATGTATGACTCTATGATGTATAACTATACGATGGATAACAAATGGAACTCTTTTTCATCCAGCTGGAGTCGGGGGCTACAAACCTCATGTCATAGGGGGGGAGGGGGTCGTTGGTGTGGGCCACGGTCCCCAAGGACCCCTCATCCGCCCCCTCCAAGCACAGCCATGGCGGGGAGGAGGTGGGCGGCTCTGTTGAGGAGGGGGGGCCAGGGGGCGAGAGGGGGCGCGTGTACACCACTGCGCAAGTCAATTAAGATAACAATGAAGATAACAATGATGATCGATAGCAATGAAGATAACAATGAAGATAACAATGAAGATAACAATGAAGACAACAATGAAGATAACAATGAAGATAACAATGAAGATAACAATGAAGATAACAATGATGCAAGATGTATACGAGCAAGAGACTCACCGAGGTTTTTGTATTTTTCCTCGAGGGCGCTGAGGTCCAGGGGCGCCGCCATGCGGATGGTGAGGCCAGCGCAGCTCGCCACAGACGCAAGGGCGGCCACACCAGCGGAGGTGCCCACGCAGCCGCTGAACTCCTCCAGCCACACCCTGTCCATCAGGAGGGAAATGGAGAAGCATTATCATAATGCCTTCAGTTCAAAGGCATAGATAATTAGTAATGGGCTTGCAATCATTTGTAATGGACCAGCAATCCATTGTATTGGACCAGCAATCTATTGCAATGGACCAGCAATCCATTACAATGGACCAGCCATCCATTGTAATAGATCAGCAATCCATTGTAATAGACCAGCAATCCATTGCAATGGACCAGCAATCCATTTTAATGGACCAGCAATCAATTGCAATGGACCAGCAATACATTTTAATGGACCAGCAATCAATTGTAATGGAACAGCAATCCATTTTAATGTGCCAGCAATCAATTGCAATGGACCAGCAATCCATTGTAATGGACCAGCAATCCATTGCAATGGACCAGCAATCCATTGCAATGGACCAGCAATCCATTGTAATGGACCAGCAATCCATTTTAATGGACCAGCAATCAATTTGGCATGGACCAGCAATCCATTGTAATGGACCAGCAATCCATTNCAATTTGGCATGGACCAGCAATCCATTGTAATGGACCAGCAATCCATTTTAATGGACCAGCAATCAATTGCAATGGACCAGCAATCATTTTAATGGACCAGCAATCCATTGTACTGAATTACTGTGGGCATTCGCCAAGAAGCCCCACCCTTCAACAGTGCTTCTCCCCTCTACCTCCTCCCCTCCTGTATTCCTTCCGTGTAGTCCCCAATGGCAGCACATGCACCTGCTGGTTCATACCTGCACGTGCAGGTTCTCACCTGCTGCCGCGCAGCTTCTTGACGAGGTCGTCGTGGGTCTCGTAGTCGTCAGGGCTTGACAGCCTAAGCTCGACCTCCACGCCCTTTGCCGCCTCCAAGAGCTCCCCCCACGGCGCCCCCCTCAGGTCCGCGGCCTTCATGTCCACCACCACACGAGATGGACGAACATGGACACCACACGAGATGGACGAGAGCATTTCAGCCACTGTGGCGACATGGCGACCTGCAGGCAACCACAACGTAACCACCAATGCCAAAAATAGGCAAGAATAGTCAAGAATAGTCTATTGCATTGAAAAGTCTTATATTGCATTGAATAGTCTTGTATTGCATTGAATAGTTTTGTATTGCATTGAATAGTTTTGTATTGTATTGAATAGATTTGTATTGCATTGAATAATTTTGTATTGCATTGAATAGTCTTGTATCGCAATTAATTAATAGTCTTGTATTGCATCATCTTCTATTGCACGTCTAGTCTAGTCTCGTCTCGTCACGTTTCGTTACGTCTCGTCTCGTCACGTCTCGTCACGTCACCCACCGTGCCGAACGTGCCAGATCTCGCCCCCGACAAGGTCCACCAATATCCCCGCGAGGTCGGGGCAGCGCGCGACGCAGTCCATCACATCGTCAGCGGTGACTCGGGCATCCCTCAGGGCCTCCTTCAGCTGCGACCACCGCCGCGTGAGGAGGCGGGGGTTGTCCCTGCTGAGGGCCACCACCACGTACAGCAGCACCTCCCGCAGGCTGGGGATTACAAGTGGGTGTGGATTCATTGGGGGAGTTAAGCCTGTACGTCGTCTGCAGCTTGTGAAATGTTTTGGTTTCTTGATTGTATGATGTTAGGAAATGTGGCATGCTGCTCATGCCATCAGAGCAGTATGCAGCTTATGCCATCAGAGCGGCATGCAGCTCATGTCATCAGAGCGGCATGCAGCTCAAGCCATCAGAGCGGCATGCAGCT